TTTTTAATTATTTCAAAAAAAAATTAAAGATAGCCATTTTGTTGATTTTATTTTTCTGAAAATATTGACGTTTCAAAATTTTAATTTCATTAATTTCCTGAATTTTAATAATTTTTTTAGTTTCCAGAAAAATTGTGAATTATTTAACACCATAATGTTATTACTTATTAAACATGTGACCCGCCGCGCCGCGCGCATACCCATACGGCCGGCTGAATATTTTCCGTGTTCCTAATAAGTAGTTATAAATTTATAATCATATTTTACTTCTTCAAAACTAGAAAAAATATTAAAAATCAGGAAATTAATGAAAATAAAATKTTGAAACGTCAATATTTTTAGAWAAATAAACTCTACAAAATGGTTATCTTTAATTTTTTTGGAAATAATTAAATAAAAAAATATATTTCTTAAATTTTTTACAAAAACATTAAAATAAATTTAAAAATGAAGTAATTGTAGTTCATATGTCACATCCCTATGAATCTTATTATAAAATCAGAATTTTGATATCTCCATTATTTCGTAAGATATCGCAATGGGTAAATCCTCGCGGGACACCCTGTATAATATTATATTAAACAGTATATACTTTATACCTTATAATATTATCTAATTTATAAATGTAGAACTGTAAAGTAGGTAACTAAAAAATAAACAGATCGCACATGCCTACATTATTTTGCTTATTTTGTCCCTCAGAAAAATGACCAACGCCATCTGTAATAGTTCTCCAATACTAATTTGAAAACACAATCACCGCTCGATGACGCTGTGTGTATTGTCTCGTAGCCGGTTATATTATTATAATGTTTTATTATTAAAATGGTTTGATAATATCAAATCATATATCACAAAGAAAACCTGCCCCAGCATAAAAATGTCTCATTGAACTTTAGCTGATAACAGGGGCATATTTATGGGGGTGACTGAGGGGGCTTCAGCCCTCCCCCCCACGACACTCGGGAATTGTTTATGAAGTCTGGTTATTAAGTCCTATCAGATGTAAATTTTCTAACTCATATAGGCTGAATTGGGAATTTCAGTTGGAGAAAATACCACAGCCCCCCCCCTAAAAAAAAAAAAAAATCTAAATAAGCCCCTGACTGACAATATCATATCACATAAGATTTGTTTAATGGCTCTAATACCTCCTGTACCTTAATTTAATAAATATCAATTATCATATAAAAAATATTTTTAAAAGTATTCTAATAATGAGGTTGCTTACGCACTATCGCGGACCTATTGAAATGCTATCTCTAACTGGCCGCACAGCACTCGCGACGTGTATGTTTATGCTGAATTTACCTGTGTGTTTTATAAAAGTGGGTACTTAAAACCATAGACCTATTAACTAGTTAGTAGGTCTATGCTCAAAACTAGGTACAAATGTGAACCACTAGGTACGCAATTATAGGTGTGCACACAAGGCACAAAAGAATATTATTGTACACATATTATTAATAACACATTGTTAATGTTATAAGCGGGATATGATCACAACTTAACCTAACAACTGGGAATGAAGATGAACTTAACCTTAACCTTACACTTAACCAAACAACTGAGAATGAAGATGAACCACGGACTAAGATAGTATGGACTGGAAACGAACAGGCGAACGGGTGACGGAGAGCCGGGCTGCTTATGGAATGGAGTAGGTTTGTGCGGGGGGAAATGGAGCAAGTGCGAATGTAGGCAAGTGTTATCACGGACTAGGATGGAACTAATAGTTATTACTATCATTAATTATTTTAATATTTATAATTTATGTATGTGATACATTTTTGATGTCGTAAAATGGTTTTGAGGGAAAATAGATTCTGGATTTTTAAAACGTAGGTTTTAAATTGTACACATTCGTAACAAAAATACGCGATTTATTTATTAACCAAAAAATATTACACTAATACACTACCTAGGTACTTACTTTAAATTTCAATTATAAAAAGCGGATAATTCGTGGATGTCGATCTGCTGTAGGTACAGTAGGTTACAAGTGAGTTACACTGTAATGGATGGAATTAAATTTGAATCCAATGATATAATAATATCATTGTATGTATATACGAAAAACGATTCTGAGCAGAGATGGTTTATCTGTCAAAATA